AAATATGTAATCTTCGTAAATGTTTTATTGCTGTTTATTATTATAGTATATTACATAACGAGAGTTGTAAGAAGCTTATTACATGCGAGTAAAAAAGTTGCGCGCGAGCCGCGTAGCGGCGAGCGCAGTAATTTTACAAGCATGTAATAAGTTACAACTCAAGTTGTGTACTATACTTTTTCTACCATTATTTTTGTTTATAAAAATAAAAATTAAATTACCACTATATTTACACTGACAGATTAATAATTTTTAACCTGTCAAAACAACGCCTGTTAATTCGTTTCCATGGTAACTCGACCAACTGACTTACAAGGCTTATGTGATATTACACATTTTTATAGAACTGAAGCGTAATTTTTTTTATTACGTGCTAGTCATTACGTGTCAGTATCTGTTATGATGCATTTACTTAGCATCCAAATAGTAGGTAATATACAATTTACTAGTAAGAGAGTAGAAAAAATATATTAAAATTAAAGCATTTTACATAAAAAAATTGAATTTCAAAATAAATTTCTAAACAAAAAGTTGTGAAGAAGTCGATTTTTGTAAAAAATCATAGGTAGTCATAATAATATGGCCAGGGATTGTAATTTAGGATGCACTGAAAACCCCATGGATTTTTGACAGCAAACGTCTAATCCCTAATAATTAGAGTTGATGAGACCTATTAGGTCGAAATACGTATCAACAGATACATAGGCGCTTTTTGCGTGAAATCAAATATTTGCTGTCTTTTTCATTTTATTCGGATATACTCTGTGTGAGTACGAGAAACACAATTCGCTAAGGATTTCTGCTTAGTTGTAAAGACATGTCGTGGAATGCAAATTTTAGATTCCCCATGTCCCTTTTAACATCTTTTATCAACGTCTGTTTGCCTTGCAATTTTTAGAAGGCTCAGATTATAAGCAGAAATCTGAATTGTGTTTCGAAACTATTTTACGGATTTTATTATTAGATGTCGCTATTGCGTCCGTATTGAAGCCATTTTAGTGTTGCTTCTTAAAAGACAGAAAATATTGATTTTTCACGTTGAGAACACCTATGAATAACTGTTCTGATGAGACCTATTAGGTCGAAATACGTATCAACAGATACATAAGCGGTTTTTGCGTGAAATCAAAGATTTGCTGTCTTTTTCATTTTAAATGACATAAAGTTTATATTTTTTCCAAACTGCGTATACGACTGATAAAAAATTAATATCTGATCGTAAAAGATGAAAAGAATATTTCAAAGAGCTGTTAAATGGGAGAGTGACTACTGAAGAAAATTATAATGTCTCTAAACCCCAAACAGTAGTAGAGAAAATACTAAAGTCCAGAAGAGAAGAAATTAAAGAAATAATAAAAGAGATGAAAAATCAAAAAAATCCCAGGGCTGCGAGAATTGTGGCAGAGAACTTAAAATATGTAGGATAGGCTTTACGAAACCGACTTAGTGAGCTAATATTAGAAGTGTGAGATGCCGAAGAAATACTTTAAGAATGAAACAAGTCCATTATAATTCCTATACACAAAAATGGAGATTGATAGAATTGAATGCGCAAACTATAATGATATATTCTTGTTAGAGGTAATATACAAAGTGCTCGCCATACTAATTAAAAAACGATTAGAAATATATGTTGAGAAGAATCTAATAGAATATCAGGGACGATTTCTCAGAAGTCAACAACCGATCAAATTTTTTTGCTAATTTTTTTATTTATTTTTGTAAACAACATGTCTGTTTATATGCCCGCAAAATTCTTGAGAAAACTCGAATATCTGGGGCATATAATGAGAGGAAGCATATACAGATAATGCAGTTGATACTCAACGGAAAGATCGACGAAAGAAGATGAATTGGCAGAAATAAATACTCATGGCTCCGAAACCTTCGTTAATGGACTGGCTTATCAGCAGATGAATTATTACATGCCGCGCAAGATCGAGAACGATATCGGCAAATCGTCATGGAAGCTACCCACGCCTAAAACTTGGCACGGTACTCAAAGAAGAAAGAAGAAAATTCTTGACAACAGTGTGTAGATTTATTTTCTCTGTTTTAGAGAGGAGACCAATTCCTTGCGTACAGTCAGTTCTTAAATGTTAAAAATTTTGAGAATTGTTATTGCCTTGAAAATTGCAGAAAATATCACGCTCAAGAAGTATTACCAGAAAAAGTTGACTAAATAGAATACCGGGATACACAAATTTGTGCAACAATCGATGGAGATTCAACACGTTCAAGTAGAGACGTTGCTGTTTGTCCCAGCACACAGTCACTGTAACAAAAGAATGGAAAAATTTACGTCTGGACTGGCATTTTAGGAAACCGCATAATAGGTCCATTTTTTATTGAGGGCAACTTGAATAGTAGAGTATACCTCGATTTGTTACAGAATCATGTTCTTACCGCCATTCTCAATCTTCCTGATGTAAATCTGGACAATGTTTGGTTCCATCAAGACGGTTGTTCAGTTCACAATGCTCGAATAATTAAGGAGTACTTAATCAATACTTCTATATTGCATATTGTTCAACGAATTTCAACGAAACAGAAGATTTCTTCATTAAAAAAGGAGTAAGGCAAGGTTGTATACTGTCTCCAATGCTGTTCAATTTATACGTAGAAAAAGCCTTCGCAGAAGCAGTGGCAGACTCTAATAAGGGTATTAAAGTTAACGGCATATTTATTAATAACATCAGGTATGCCGATGATACAGCCATAGTGGCAGATAACATTAAATATCTTCAATGCCTTTTAAATGATCTAACTCTTGCAAGTGAAGCTCGGGGTTTGAAAATAAATATCAAGAAGACAAAAACAATGATTATAAGTAGAAATGATTACCCCAACGCAAAGATATAATGTCTCTGGAGAAGAAATCGAACAGGTCAGGCAATTCAAATACTTGGGTTGTTTGCTGAACGAGGGTTGGGACCCCGAGAATGAAATAAAGAGCAGAGTTGAACAAGCCAGAAATGCTTTTTTGAGGCTTCGTAAGTTTCTGACTGATCGCAAATTGGACTTCAACCTCCGATACAAGATGCTTAAGTGTTACGTGTGGCCTGTTCTCCTGTACGGAATGGAAGCATGGACGTTAAAGGCCAGTTCCATTAACAAACTTGAAGTGATTTGAAATGTGGTACCTGCGTCGAATGCTTAGAATATCATGGACGGACAGGGTCAGAAATGAGGAAGTACTCAGAAGAGCGGGCTTACAGGATAGGGAACTTTTTAGTTATGTAAAAAGTAAGAAGACTGCATACTTGGGGCACATATTACGAGGAGAAAGATACACTTTTCAGCAACTGATACTCGAAGGGAAGATAGAGGGTAGGAGAGGTCTGGGACGTAAAAAAATGTCATGGCTGCGCAATATTCGACAATGGACAGGAATCCACAGCTATGAAATGCTTCGCAATGCTGCTAAAAACAGAATTATTTAATCCTGAATATTTAACATCTCACCTGACAAGACGATGTACGGTGGACGCCTACGCAGAAATGCACAGCACTTTAAGAAGAGAAGAAACAGTACTTTCCCGTGGAATCAGTGGAATAGGCGACATTAAGTGGCCTGCGCGGTCTCCAGATCTTACAACCATGGACTTCTTTTTTGATTACATTTAAGAAGCATTATCTACCATCATCCTGTTAAAGCAGAAACTCTTACATCTGTTCGCAGAAGTTTTTATGACAGATTTTGATACTGTTCAGCCATATAAGGTCAAATATTTTCATCATTTCTGTAAGGTATAAAAAATTGTTTCTTCTTTTATTAGCAATTATTTTTTATTTTCAATATGAGTATATTTTTTGTTTTATCTTTTTAAAGAAATGCGCTTTTAGGTTTAATGCACCTACAAAAAATTTTTCACATTATTAAAAACCGATACAAATGCATTGTCTTATAAAGTCAGGCGTATTTATATTTGTATATCCTAAGTATTTAATAAACATTTTTTTCTATACACCATCTACATGTTGTATAAATCCCGATGCAAGATTCGTCATCATTATCTACGTCAGAGATCTAAGTTGAAATTGTTGCCAAATTACAAAAAAATTATATATTCATTTTAAATCAAATAGCTGTATTACATAAATATTGCAGTAGTTTATTATAGAACAAAGCACAGTAATATTCAATGTAAATAAATACTTGGTGGATCTCTGGTGGATAACTCAGTGGAGTTACCAGCTGTAGTCCGTTTGAAGAGGTTTACTCTCCGGACACTGGAACTCACTTCAAACATGTTACCTGAAGTCAAATTCAATTAAATATTTAACATCGCATTTTAATAACAACAATATGTACAATCTTTAATAACTACATGTAATTTAAAGGGTTTTTACCCTGGTATTTTGGTGGCTCAGGCATTTTAACCTAGCAATTTTAAACCTGATGATGGACTGTTTAGTCCGAAAACGTTTGTTTTTTTGATGTAGCCCTTTTAAGGGTTTTTTAAATAAATATACCCATTTACGAAGACTAACCTCTTTTTTGTGATACGTGGTATACAGCCAGCTACAGGAATTGTTTTTCGTGTGGATGTTTTTAAAATAATTTACTCTACAGATTTGCGTATTATAAACGCAAAGTAAATTAATTCTGGAAGTAAATCTGCTAACTAAACTATTCGTTAGTTATTGTTAGATAATTGTTAGATTACGATTCAAATTACGTCACGAGAGTACAGCTCCGGCTTAATGTTCATTGGTTAGGCAGAAGAGGCAACCGTAGTAAGTCTACGAACCGTGGGTATTGCCAACAACAACATGAAGAACATTTTTGAGCATTTATTGTATTATCTGGAACAAAATTACAAATAATTTCAAAATGTCACGTAATATAGGTCTTTGAAATCAGATTGTTAAGAAACTTTAAAAACACATATGAGTGTACTGTAATCAACATTATCTATTTTATTATTGTATCAAATCCCCCTTTAGATATAAAAACTAAGCATCACGAAAGTTTCTGTCATGGTTTCTGTCACTTTGATCAATTTCAGTGACGATTGTAATTTTGACAATATATTCGAAGCTTATAAAAAGCATTAAACATACAAATTCAGTACAGTCCAGTGACTTCAAAATTAGTTGATTTGTAAAAAGATATCAGAGGTCAGTATATCTGCTTTATAACATTAAACATTTAAACTCTATAAGACAAAGTCTATTAAAGAATTTGCAATTAATTTTGCCGTTTTCTGAGCGCCAAGGTTGTACGTGTAAAATTGTTAAGATTCGTTTTCTTGTGTACTGAGTTTTTAATATATTAGTTTATAACTGTTTGTGCGTTTTATTTTTATAAGTATTTTATTGTTAAAAAATATCTTTCTACTCCTACTCCTGCAATATGATTTCTTCTTTCTGCAACATGTTTCTAAATTCATCTCTTTTTATAATTGTGTCATACCTTTTTTATGTATCCTTTTATTATCTTCTATTGTAATTGTATATTCGGCTCCTTCTTATGGTATCTGTAATAACATTTTTAGTCTTAGGAACTTTAGTTACATATGTTGCATTTATTATGCATCTGTATGATTTTTATTATTTATTAAAGATATTTTTATAAATAAATATGTTCATATATATTTCTTCTTGTTCTTGTAGTGCCTATCCGTTTCGGATGTGGGCGACCATCATGGCAATCTGTATTTTGCAAACTGCTGCTCTGAAAAGATTTGTGGTTGTTATGTTAAACCACGTACGTAGCTTTTTCTAATTAGAATTAATTGCAGCAACCCATGTCGTTCGCTGTACCTCATGATGTGACCAATATATTCGATTTTGGCTGTTTTTATTGTGGTTAACAACTCTCCCTTTTTACATTCTCTTGCTCTACTGCTTCTTGAAAGATTTCCTCAGAGTATATGTTAAACAGCAAGGGTAATAGTATACATCCCTGTCGAACCTCACGTTTTATTTTGATATTATCAGATTCTCCTGCCTCTGTACGGATGTTTGATTCGAGTAAAGATTGCTAATAATTCTTAGATCACAGGATTTATTCCAATATTTGTTAAGTAATATCTCCATTATCTTGTATATTATAGTTGATTATGAAGTGCTTCTCTCGAATGGTTCTGGGCAGAGCTTCTTGCGATTGGCCCTGTGCGAGTATAGATAGGAGGGTCGTATTTGTCGGTCTTGTTATTTTATTTACTTTCATATTTTTCTTTAATTTAGTTTTCCATGTTGATGGAATCCTTTGATCATTATTTCTTTGGTTTAGACTGTTAGGATTTTTTTCTATATCTGTTGATTCTCTGATCTCACATTTTTTTTTCATCTTAATGTTGGCTAGAATCGTAGTTTAATTTAGATTTATTTTATGTCCTGTATTTAAGACATGTTGTGCAAGGAACGACATTTTTTTCACGTCCAACATGTTTTAAATGCAGGACATAAAATAAACCTAAATCAAATAAATAGTGAAAATATCCTAACAGTCGAAACCAAAAAGATGATGCTCAAAGGGCTCCAACAACATGGAAAATGGTATTAAAGAAAAAGATGAAAATAAATCAAACAATAAGACCTATGAGTACGTCCCCTCCTACCTATACTCGTACAATGCCAATTAAAAGAAGCTCTGCCAAGAACCGTTCAAGAGAAGTCACTTTACTTCAAGCACAAGATTGCCATATTTGACACCTCGAAACATCCCAATTTGTTTAGTGCCACGAAGAAAAAGAATAGGCTCACATTTTTTAAACGAAATTTTAATAAACGTATCACTACATTAGACAATTATTGGTTTGCATATATAAATCTCAACTTTTTAAGGTAGTACTTATATTAATAACCGCTTTTACTTTTTGTATTTATTGTATCGCCTGCCTGTTCTTTTTATTTATTAATATTAATTTTTTTCGTCTCTATTAAGAAATCGTCATTTTATTTCATTAAATTATAAACAATTGGTACAGTATTAATCCCGATGCATGTCATCCGCGTCATAGTAAGTAACATCATATAATACCAACAGAAAATATTTAAGTCGTAGGTATGTTCCTTCTTAGAATCTTTTAGCCATGTACAGTGGAATTACAGCCACTTATATACGCGCACAAATAATATTTCAAGATTTCTATTATTCTAACATTTAAACAAATACTCCATAACTTGTTTCATTTAATTTGTATAAGTGGATTATAAAACGTTTTCATGAAGCACACTTGTCCGGATCACACTTCATCTTACTTCATCTGGCAGACTGTGATCGAACGAAGGTGACATTTTGGCATAAATTGGTAATACTTAATTGACAGTTGTGGTGTATCTAACACTTGAGATTTGTTTTTATTATTTACTATTTATTAAACTCCCCATTCTACCGTTGAATACTATTAGGGAAGTATGTAATGTAGGTATTTTTTATATGTTTATGTAGATGCTTAAAACATACATTCCTGTTTTAGTGTGCAGCTGCAGCTTAAAATTCACATATTTTAACTGTGAGTTCTAGTAAGAACTGTAAGTTACCAATACTGAAATAGTAAATACAAGCGAAATTCGTAATAAAATTTACCGTATGTATAAACGAAATAAGTATACTTTTCGTTAGATATCATAAGGTACATTAAGTTAAACAGATTTGTTTAACATGAAATCAAATTTAATTATTTTCAGAAGAACATGTGGCGTTGATCTCTTTATGTATTAAATTGAAGGAAAAAGAACTATTTAGTGGTTGTCGTATGTCACTCAGTATTGTACTGAAAGACATTAGTTTTAAATGGCTAAAAGATAATCCAAAACGAGGACTGGTGGAACATTCTCATGTTGCTGTGAAAGGGGCAGAATTTTTGGAATCTGAACCATCCCTAATTATAATGGTTAACGTTCGGTACCATTGCATATTATTAGAGACAGCACCAAACATGTCTTCAATGAAGACTGAAATAGTTTTTTTTGAGGCAATGTTAAAAAAATGAGCTTTTGAATATTGTAGTGCAGTAAGTACGCCCAATGAGAATTTAGTTCAGGTTATCAATATTTATTTTTAGAAACAAGACATCTCCTAAATACATTGTTAATGATTGAGCAGAACAATATAGCCATAAAATATTACGTCTGCTAACATACCGCTATATTTTTAATACTATAGAATTAATATGGGGAATTGCCAAAAACGAAATATTGATAGACATGGCTATAAAGAATATGATGCTTTAAACATGTGGAAATAGGTTCTACAAACTGTTACACCCCAGATAGGGCAAAATTCTATTAGTCGTACGGAAAATTCCACCTATTATAATTATTAATATCAACAGTACCTAACAGTGATTACAGTAGGAGCTATGAAATAGACAGTGATTAGTAAGTAAAGCATCGTATGGCTCTTTAAGCATTAAAATTAAGCTTTATTCTTTGTAGGTTTTAAACTGATGATTAATTACTATTTAACTGGGAATAAGCCACAATTAAAGATAAAAATACGTTTATTGACGTTTCAATTTCCACTTCGGAAATCGTTCTCAAAATACAAACAGTAAATTAAACAAATTTTGTTTTTTGTTACATAGTGAAAAATTCTTCTAATAATTTAATTTTATCTGACTCATTTATATTGACAATTCAGACATACATTATGCATTTTAAAGTAGACGACTTTAAAATGATATTGCCAATATTGTTGAGTTGCGCTCCTGGGACGACTTTACTTATAAGATAGTTCATTCGATTACATGAAATCAACTTTAACTTGAGAATATCCGTCAGAAAAAAATCATAGCATGTAATTCGTCTTTAAAAAGACAAACACATGACATGATGACAGTAAAATTCTCCTGTTAGTGATTCCATAGTAAATTATGATGGAAAAACCAGGAAAAAAACCTCATAATACTATCCCGACATGGTAAGTATTTGTTCGTGCATTTAGTTTACCTTCAATAAACACCAAAATTCTGATTTTATATGTTTCGTTATTTAAAAAACATAAATGATGTATCCTCTATATGTTACTGACTTACTAATACTGGTATTTTCTTATTAATAACTTCCTCTTTCAATATTGGTAACCAGATCCTACTACATTCTGCCGAGGAATTTGCGACACAATTAGTCTCATTTAGCATAATTAGAGTCGCTTCTTTGATTTTTCTTTTTTTATCATCTATTTCTTTTAGGACTACATTTGAATTATTCCATTGAACCCTATGTTCATTATCCCATGCGTGTTTACATATTTGAGATCTATCAATATCATTTTAAAGTCGTCTACTTTAAAATGCATAATGTATGTCTGAATTGTCAATATAAATGAGGCAGATAAAATTAAATTATTAGAAGAATTTTTCACTATGTAACAAAAAACAAAATTTGTTTAATTTACTGTTTGTATTTTGAAAACGATTTTCGAAATGGAAATTGAAACGTCAATAAACGTATTTTTATCTTTAATTTTGGCTTATTCCCAGTTAAATAGTAATTAATTTAAAATGCCACAAGAAAATAGCTTCAGAACAATATTAAACTGATGATGTAACAAAGTTTTTCTACAAAACTATAAGGGCCAACTCTTCGAAAGCTAATCAAAACTTGATTGTAATCAAATATTTAATTAAAATCAAATAAGTCATATTTTGGGCTTATGTTGACTGATTTATTTTATTTAATTTTATTATTTTAGGTTATAATTTAAAATAAACCATAATTAAACTCTTTCTGATGTTAATTTCATGTTTTTATTTACAAATCAATAATAATAATAAGCAATTTTTAATAATTTTGACAGCTGCTGCGACGTATTTGGTTGTAAATAAATATTTGATTACAATCAAGTTTTGATTAGCGTTCGAACAATCGGCCCTAAGATAGATAAAAAAGTATAAGAAAGACTAAAATATGGAAACAGTAACATGTACTAGTGTGTAACTTTTAAGCTTAACACTTTTCTTGCATTGTTCACAAATTCTATAAAACCACCATATGCACAATGGTAATGAATTAATAAGGAAACTGAAACTTAAGTAAAACTAAAGAAAAAAGATAGATTAACATTTGTAGCATTCTAATTGTAACAAAACACTTAAAAAAAAATAAATAATAAAAAGAGCGGCTCAAATTGTTTTTAACGTTAAATTATTACTTAATTTTTGTTTTCTATTTCTAGTTTTTTTATTTATTTACATTAAATATTAATTCGTTTTGTTATATAATCGATTTCTGCAATATTTATGTGATATATTTGATTTAAAACGAATTCAGGATTTTTTTGTAATTTGGCAACAATGTCTACTTGATCTCTGACGTAGATAATGACGTGCATCGGGATTTATACTGTACCAATTGTATAAAAGATACTGCATAATTAAAAAACATCTCTTATTTTTTCTGTTGTAGAAAATTCCTTACCCTAAGTCAGTATTCTTTATAATCAGCAATGAATTTTGCGAACGATTCTGCTACTATGGCATGCGAGGTAAGTATATTTAAAAACTTGACTAATTTAGATAGGCTACAATATATGTATAACTTCAATTCAATCCAATGTTTTAATAATCTACCAGAATTATTTTTCAACTGAAATCGAAATGTGACAAAACCATAAAAGACCGTCTCGATCTGAGATTATGCGGAGGAAGATATTTACTGAATAGTACTACCCACAGAACAAAATGGGCTGGGAAGTTCTCATTACCGACACGGCCTGTACCAATAGCTATTAAGTTTGGTATAACCAAATAAACGTGACAGAAAGTTTTATGGGAACTACAGAAAAATTAGCATAATCAGTTCAATAGGGAGATTGTACGCCAAAATAATAAAGAATAGAATTGTATGGAAGTATGAGATATAGAGGAATTAAACGATTTCCGGGCAGAAAGAGCGTGTATATATTGTATGAATTATTATACATATAATTGTTATTCCAAAACTTTAATTGAAAAGATAAAACGTTATAAAGTATAAAAACTGAATTTACAATATGCACTGAAAATGAATACAAGTCTTTATATCAACTTGACTGAATCTCGAATGCTGAAAACTAGTTGTCGGTCGAAGGTCAACGCCGTAGGCCAAACACACGGTGGCTGCCACGGGGGCGGAGGGGTCACCGGTTCCACGATGTGTGCGACAACTGTTATACAGGGGTCGATCAACAGTTAAACATACCGGCCCCCTTGATAGCTGGTAGGCTTCAACAGCAACTAATGGTTAGGAAGATCCTCTGGAAGTACACATATCTTCATGGCAGGTCGTTTGTATACGGAGGAGCCAGTTCTAATGGTAACAGCTCTGACTATACCGTCGGCACCAGGATGAGTGACTTCAACTATACCAATTTTCCATTTCATTGGCGGGATTCCATCTTCTTTAACCAAGACGAGGAGTCCAGGCTTTAAAATTGTGGGGTAGGTCTTTTTCCATTTAGACCGTTGTTGGAGCTCGGAAATATACTCCTTTGACCATCGCTTCCAGAAACTTTGGATGATTCTTTGAAGGCGTTGAAACTTGCTGAGTGAATTTTCTTTAATTGCAGAATAGTCATGGTCAGGTAAAGCAGTAATGCGTTCTCCAATTAGGAAGTGTGCAGGTGTCAAGGACTGCGGATCATTGGGATCATTGGAAATCTGGGATAAAGGTCGGGAATTTAAACATGCTTCGACTTGATGAAGAACAGTTACGAAATCTTCGTAAGAAAGTGGGATTTGACCGAGTACCCTCTTTAAATGAAATTTAGTAGATTTAACTCCCGCTTCCCATATACCACCAAAATGCGGTGCATGAGGAGGTATGAAATGCCATTTTACATTGTCAGAATTTAGAATAGATTGAATTTCATTTTCACTCGTGTGTAGAAACTTATAAATCTCATTTTTAGCTCCAACAAAATTGGTGCCATGATCAGAATATATATTTGCAATCAAAAGACTGATATTTTTTTGTACACACTTATGACAAGTCGAAAGAAAATGCAAAAAAGTATTTTTGAAGTGTGTATATTTTAGGCAATTCCTAGCTGAGCGCTTTCGGCTTTACAAAGCCATCATCAGAGCTATGCTACAATAAAATGTTCTAATAAGTACTAATTGGTAAAGATTGTAATTTTTAACTTACGTCAATTTTTTAAAATACCACTACAAAGAAGAGATCTCATTTCCTTAAGTTTTAAAATTATGATATTGTAGGAGTTGGAATTCTTAAAACACATAAAAAACATATAAAAAGTCGACACTGGACTTCACAAACACGTTAAAAAATTGAAAAAATTTTTGTCATGGTACGGGTTTTAAGACCCGACCATCTATTGATGTGAGGACGTAGACTGAATAGAACTAGTGAAATCAAATGTCGGTCCTTTTAAACGATTTTTCAAAAGTGACAGGTGACAAATGTCATATATAGGAAATAGAGATTGTTTTTTTAAATTCTTACAAAATTATTTAGTAGTTTGGAATTACTACTAGTCATCAAAGACTTTCTAAAAATTAAGTTTTTAAATTAAATTTTATGTGTTCATCACATCATACAGAATGAAATTAATTTGTAAATTCACTCAAGTCATTGCTCAAGGTCAATGTGTGTTCAATCTGACAGCTATCCTTAAGGAACAAGGGCTCAAATTGTTCAACAACACTATAAAGAAGAAACCTGGTATTAATGTTATGTTATCTGATACTTAAGTGTATTAAGAATTGTATGTCTTGATGGAAAAATGTAAGAACTTTGTATAAAAATTTTTTTAAGAATGTATTTTCATGTTTCAATTAAGAACAACTGTCAAATGAATTACAAAATGTTGTAAATTTTAATAAAGTTTAAAATTTGTTTAAAAAATAAAAGTATGAAAAATATATAACAAGATTGCATGAGGTCACCCTTCTTCCTCTAAAGTCTCCCATAATAATTTAAAAAGAGGTTTATAGTTGCAATTGAGGTTGATTTGTGTGTTTAAGCAACAATCAGGGTTTATTTTCATTTCTTTGGATATTTCTAGATCTTCCAAGAGATTCATGAGTCTAAAGTTTTTATTGGGAATGTTGTGTAAAATTTTACTGTTTTCAGAAGGAGAAAAAGAATGATTATTAAATTTAATGTGATATCCAAAGTTTGATTTTTCTGGGTTATTGAGGTGTTCTTTGATTCTTTGATTCAGAGTTCTCATTGTTCTACCTACATAAGTCATATTACAGTCACCACAGGACAGCTTGTAAATACCACTTCTGTTTAGTTTGTCAACTTTGTCTTTGGTCTTGCTGAAGATGGACTTGATGTTATATTTGGTTTTAAAGGAGATGTTTAAGTCATTAATTTTATTAACAAGTACTCTTGAAATTTTTTCTGAAATTGGTCCTAAGTAAGTTAAGGATCTATATATGGAAGTAGTGTTGGATTTGTTATCAACATTAAAAGCTTGGTTTAGTCTCTTTTTGAGTATAGATTTTCTAATGACTTTATCAACAGTAGTAGAAGGAAAACAGTAGTTTTTCCTTCTACTACTGTTGATAAAGTCATTAGAAAATCTATACTCAAAAAGAGACTAAACCAAGCTTTTAATGTTGATAACAAATCCAACACTACTTCCATATATAGATCCTTAACTTACTTAGGACCAATTTCAGAAAAAATTTCAAGAGTACTTGTTAATAAAATTAATGACTTAAACATCTCCTTTAAAACCAAATATAACATCAAGTCCATCTTCAGCAAGACCAAAGACAAAGTTGACAAACTAAACAGAAGTGGTATTTACAAGCTGTCCTGTGGTGACTGTAATATGACTTATGTAGGTAGAACAATGAGAACTCTGAATCAAAGAATCAAAGAACACCTCAATAACCCAGAAAAATCAAACTTTGGATATCACATTAAATTTAATAATCATTCTTTTTCTCCTTCTGAAAACAGTAAAATTTTACACAACATTCCCAATAAAAACTTTAGACTCATGAATCTCTTGGAAGATCTAGAAATATCCAAAGAAATGAAAATAAACCCTGATTGTTGCTTAAACACACAAATCAACCTCAATTGCAACTATAAACCTCTTTTTAAATTATTATGGGAGACTTTAGAGGAAGAAGGGTGACCTCATGCAATCTTGTTATATATTTTTCATACTTTTATTTTTTAAACAAATTTTAAACTTTATTAAAATTTACAACATTTTGTAATTCATTTGACAGTTGTTCTTAATTGAAACATGAAAATACATTCTTAAAAAAATTTTTATACAAAGTTCTTACATTTTTCCATCAAGACATACAATTCTTAATACACTTAAGTATCAGATAACATAACATTAATACCAGGTTTCTTCTTTATAGTGTTGTTGAACAATTTGAGCCCTTGTTCCTTAAGGATAGCTGTCAGATTGAACACACATTGACCTTGAGCAATGACTTGAGTGAATTTACAAATTAATTTCATTCTGTATGATGTGATGAACACATAAAATTTAATTTAAAAACTTAATTTTTAGAAAGTCTTTGATGACTAGTAGTAATTCCAAACTACTAAATAATTTTGTAAGAATTTAAAAAAACAATCTCTATTTCCTATATATGACATTTGTCACCTGTCACTTTTGAAAAATCGTTTAAAAGGACCGACATTTGATTTCACTAGTTCTATTCAGTCTACGTCCTCACATCAATAGATGGTCGGGTCTTAAAACCCGTACCATGACAAAAATTTTTTCAATTTTTTAACGTGTTTGTGAAGTCCAGTGTCGACTTTTTATATGTTTTTTATGTGTTTTAAGAATTCCAACTCCTACAATATCATAATTTTAAAACTTAAGGAAATGAGATCTCTTCTTTGTAGTGGTATTTTAAAAAATTGACGTAAGTTAAAAATTACAATCTTTACCAATTAGTACTTATTAGAACATTTTATTGTAGCATAGCTCTGATGATGGCTTTGTAAAGCCGAAAGCGCTCAGCTAGGAATTGCCTAAAATATACACACTTCAAAAATACTTTTTTGCATTTTCTTTCGACATATATATTTGCGCTTAAACCTCTTCTAGCGAAAAATCTACGAAGAGTGGCAATAAGAGAGTCTGTAGTAAGACTGCTTACAAGTTCCAAATGCATAGCTCTCGTTGAGAGACACACAAAAATACACACGTAAGCCTTGATCGTTTTATAATTTCTAGTTTGCCGATCCTTTAATAAAAAGGGTCCGCAAAAGTCTGTACCTGTATTATAGAATGGTCGTTGAGGCGTTACTCGATGCTCTGGTAAATCTCCCATTAAATAGGGGATAGGAGACGCACTAAAGCGAAAACAACGTAAGCATTGCCTCACAACCTGTTTGATTAAATTTCTGCCAGAAGTAGGCCAAAAACGTTCTCGTATTGAAGCTAGTAATAATTGTGGCCCTGCATGAAGAAGGCGCAAATGTTCTTGTTTTACAATTAATTTAGAAAGTACATGTTTACCGGGTATTATCGCAGGATGTTTCTTTTGAAAA